TTCCTCAGCTGGGATGTGGCCTCATGAGCTCCCTCCCATCCATTCGGACAGACTGACAGCTTGACCTTGTGCAGGTAACTATAGTCACTGTGCATTTGTGCACGCAGTGGCCGCGCTGTCCAGAAGATGGCACTTCAGTGCCCTCTTCCAACCCTCGCCCTTCCATTCTTCCCGAACCCTCTTTTGTGATGTTCCCCGAGCGTTTTGGAGGTGGATGCTGACAAAGACGTCCCATTTCAAGTTAAGACTCACCACTCACTCACTCTGAATGCTTTGGGTCAGTTATCAGTCAGCCGTGCCTACTGCTAAAGGGAACTTCTCTGGCCAAGGCTCCCAACCTATGGCCACACTTGTTCCTTTTTTTTGTTTTGTTTGTTTTGTTTTTTGAGATACAGTTTCTCTGTGTAGCCCTGACTGTCCTGGAACTCGCTCTGTAGACCAGGCTGGCCTTGAACTCACAGAGATCCGCCTGCCTCTGCTTCCGGAGTGCTGGGATCAAAGGCGTGCGCCACCACCGCCCGGCCCACTTGTTCCTTTTGATCTGAGACATGACACTGCTCACACTCCAGCATTTCATTCACACAGCTTCCACTAGAGCCTATTTCATAACGCACTTATTTAGTTTTCTTGGTCAGTTGTCAATCATTCTTTGAAGAATGATTTTTAATCTCGGGTGCTCCACCACACTCAGCCCTGGGTCACTTTCCAGTTGGTTTCTCCTCTCTTAGGTTTCTGTGCCGCACATAACGACTGTGTTTTGCTTCTGACTGCACCTGAAGGAGCAGTCTTTGTGTCTCGGGCCCCCTATCTTATCTGTAAAACGTGAGTGTCCACAGCAGGACTGCAGCACCTAGAGATGGTGTGAGGTGGTGATCCCCTCCCTGGCCAGTGCTCATGGCACACTTGCTTAGTGCCACGTGGCATGTTGGGGCTGGAGGGTGCAGTCCTGAAAGCCAGTGCTTCCTTGAAGGGACTTGTTCTGACCACACAGAGTTAGCATGCCTTTGATCCCAGCACTCTGGAGGCAGAGGCAGGCGGATCTCCGTGAGTTTAAGGCCAGCCTGGTCTACAGAGTGAGTTCCAGGACAGCCAGGGCTACACAGAGAAACCTGCCTCAAAAACAAACAAACAAACAAACAAACAAACAAACAAAAAAACAAAACCTCAAACAAAAAGCTTACTTTGGCAACAGCTAGTAGTAATGACTCGGAGAATCAATGACACACATATCTTGCAAATCCTCCTTCAGTGAGGACAGTTACAACAGAGATTAACAAACACTGCACAGGGATTTTTCTTCTGAGTGCCAATTGTCAGCATGCGGGGGTGGGGAAGGAGTAGTAAAAACAAACGTGTGGGCTGATTGCACACAGAGAAACCAAGATAGAACAACAACAGTGCCTTCAGGGGGAAGACACGTCACAGGTCAGACAGGGAAGGTATTTCTTGACTGAAGCCTGAATGGTAAGAAGGAATTAGTCCTCAAGGAGACAGAAGAGCATTCCAGACAAAGAACAAGTTCTGAGGGCTGACAGGAATAGGGGCGGACAGAACACACAGCTGGTGGAGAAGAAAACACCAACCGCTCAGAACTGCTCTGCACATGGAACCATTACAGCGTAAACGTGTATCTATCCAGCCTGAGACCCACAAAGGCCTGCTTTCAAAGCAGGTTGCTGATTGGCTTCTAGAACTTTGTTCTGTGTCCCCAGTAAACATTTAATCAATGGTGGCCTTACTTTATGCCTACACATGTTACACAATGTATCTAAGCATGCTTTTCTCTGGGAGTCTGGAATTGGGCTGTGGGATAAGCAGAGGGTGTGGAGGTGACTGGTCCCTGCACCGAAACCTCAGGCACTGCCTTCCTCAGGAGCTTTCCTAGGCGTAAGCATAACACACATATTGCTGTATTTCCATTGCCAGTGGCGTGTGATCTGTCATGGAGGAAGGATGTGGATTCCTGCGGCCTCTATCTGTCTCTAACCTCCCCCCACCACACACACACACACCATCTGGGCGGGTGTCCTTGCTCCCCATTTGAAAGAAATCTTGCAACTACCTGCCAAGTTCCATAAATTCTCCTTGGGAGTCGCTTAATTTAGGTGTAGCTGTGAAGAACTCCTACACAGATTAGTACAAGGATTAAGTCAGTAAATATATGTAAATCACTGAGCATAATATCAAGGACATCATAATTTCTGAAAATAAGGATAATGATGGGCTGGGGAGATGGTACAGTGGTTAAGTGTGTGCTTCTCTACGGGAGAACTGAGTTCAGTACCCAGCACCACAGCTACCTGTAACTCAGCTGCAGGGGAATCTTATGCCCTCTTCTGGCCTCCATGGGCACTGCACTCACATGCATAAGCTCCCTCCCATAAACAGACACTGTATACAATTTTTTAATTAAAAAATAATGGTGATTGTATCAGTTACACTTCTGTTGCTGTAATAAAGCACTACAAGCAAAAGCAACTCATGAAGAAAGTTATTTTGGCTTACAGTTCCAGAGGGGTGGGAGTCCATCACGATGGGGCGACTTGACAACAAGGGGCAGGAGTGGGAAGCTAAGAGCTCACAGCTTCAGTCTAAAGAGTGAGCAAGAAGTAGGGTGAGGCTGTGAACTCCAAGTTTTCCCAACAGCATACTTCCTCCAGCAAGGCTGCACCACCTAAACCTCCCAGACCGTGCTGCCAACTGTGAACCATCTGTTTACACACTGGAGCCCGTGGAGGGCGAGTCTCATTCAAACCACCACAGGGGTCATGTGAGTGGCAACGGGGATGACCACCGGAGAGCCATGCCCAGAAATGAGACTTGATGTGATCATTTCAGTTCCCAACCTCTCCAAAGCAGGCCCTGGTTCTCTCAGTCTCTTACTGAATGGACAACCTGACCCCTTTGTAACGGTATCGCATTGTTTGCAAGAATGGCAAAGGCAGCCTTCCACTGTGACACACAAGGCCCGAAGACATTGAATAGCCTGGTCTTGGTCATCCCCTAAGCAGGACAGGGCTGAGGGAAGAACCCGTCTTTGCCTTTTCGTGTCCTGTAGTGACTTCACTGTCAGCTGGTAGTTGTGACACAGGCTGGTGGGAATAACAGGTGACTATTCGGTAAGACCTTTTGGAGTCTACAAGCAGAACCATAGCCTCCACCTACCCAAAAGCTAAAAATGTTGTCTGGTAGCATCTGAGGCCTATATCAGAGATGTCCCTAAGGATGTCCCTGCTCCACAGTAACCCGCCTCCTAATACTTTCTCCAGGTGTTTGGAAACTGTCTTGGGTCATGATCTTTGTTATAAAAACTCTACAAAGCCATCACCACATTGAAACATTAGTTTTCAGGGGATGGAAATCTGTGTCTCCAGAATAAACTGCTTCTTTTCCACCTCGAGTTGAGAGAGCTGTGTTCCTTAAGTTGAACACCGCGTGCCACCGTCAGCACCGTCAGCACCGCCACCCCCAAAGCAGTGCGACCTTGTCTGGTCCTTCAGCCTCCACCTAATCACATGATCGCATGGTTCCTCCTGCTGGCTGCCTTATCTGCCATAATTGTCCTTGTGTATCTGGGGCAGTGATCTAAGGTCTCCACAGCTGCGGAGACTGACTAGCTAAGCTCCCAGCTCTCAGCAAGTGTCCCTCAGTGAGAGCTTGTCCAGCTGTGGAATAACCCTTCTGTACACTGTGTGAATTATCTTTGGTTTAATAAACAAGCTGACTGACCAGTATCGGAACAGGATAAAGTTAGGTGGGAAAGCCAAACTCAGAATGATGGGACGAGGAAGGGTGGAGGCAGGGGAGTCACCAGCCAGATGCAGAACGAGTCAGACACACGAGCCAGGATAGAGGTAAAAGCCACAAGCCTCGGGGCAGCACATAGATTAATAGAAATGGGTTAAGTTGTAAGAGCTAGTTAGTAACAAGCCTGAACTATTGGCCAAGCACATTTATAATTTATATTAAGTCTCCGAGTCAGTTATTTGGGAAGTGGCTGCTGGTTGTTTAGGAGCAGGAGGTCAGCACAGGAAAACCCACCCACACTAGCCTGTTGATGAGACTGTATTTTGTTAATGATTGATGTGGGGGGGCGGCAATTCACCAGGGGCAGTGCCATCCCATGCTGGTGGTCCTATGTTGAATAAGAAAGTAGACTGAGTAAGCCTTGGGTAGCAAGTCAGCAAGCAGCTCTCCTCCATGGCCTCTGCTTCAGTTCTGCCTGGATTCCTGCCCTGGCTTCCTCCAGTGAGGGAATGTGGCCTGGAAGATAAACTAAGTTGCTTTTGTCATGGTGTTTCATTACAACTATAGAAACCCTAATGTACACACACACACACACACACACACACACACACACACACACACACACTCATACAAACACCCACACACAACACACACACAAACATCTCAACACACACATCACATACATACATACCACACACACCACACACACAACACACTATATACACACCACACCACACATACAACACACACATACACCCACACACAACACACACACAACACACTATATACACACCACACCACACATACAACACATACATACACCCACACACAACACACACATCTCAACACACACATCACATACACACATACCCCACACACCACACCACACATACAACACACACATACTCACACAAACACCCACAAACAACACACACACACACATCTCAACACACACATCACACACACACACATACCCCACACACCACACCACACACACAATACACTATACACACCACACACACACATACACACATCTCAACACACAACACACACACACATACCCCACATACCACCACACACACACACACACACGCACACACACACACACTCACACACACTTGGCTAAATGAGGCTGCCCCAGGAAGCAAATGGTGAACAGATGAAGGCAGGAATGCAAAATGGCACACCGTACACTAAAAGTGCAGGAAAATTAACTTGAGCTTGGTGTGTGTGACTCACTGTTTATGACTTACCCTCAAGTCCTGAAGGCAGGCCGCTCTTCAGTGCTTCCTGTGACTACAGTCACAGAGAACTTCCTGGAGGCAGTGTGTGGTGGTTCCTGCTCCTTGCCAGGGAGAACTCAAGGCAGAAGACAACAGAGCGTATGGACCAATGGGATTTGAGGAACCGAAAGCCCTATTCGTGGATTAGAAAGTTAGAGAATAGTTTAGAAGCTTCCAGGAGAAAAAAAAGCCACGCATTCTGCCGTACAACAGAAAGCACACATTCAGTTGAACTGGCTGGTTAAAACTTTAGTGGGCGTGGAGAACTGTAATGTTGCAGGTCCAGAGATAACTTATCTTGGGGTTTGTTGGTCCCTAAATAGCTATGCACATTGCCCACGGTCCTGTCAGAGTGAACAAGCAGAACCCTTGAGTTTCCCTAGCCCAAAACCTGAGACTGCCGTCAGATACTCCTGAGGCCAACAGCAGAAACCCCTTCGCTGTACTAACCTGCCCTCCTGTTGCTTTCACAAGAGCCTCGACTCATGACTTATTTGCTTTATCCCTCCAAAGCCTTCATTAAATTGTTGTCACAGTGAAACATGCTATTTGGGGCAACTTGAACCTGTGTCCCTGGGCCCTGCTCACCCATGTTTTACTCCAGAATGAATGCTGGTATTCCTTTTGAAATAAGAGCTGTTGTGTGTAGATACTGCCAGCAGAACTAACCCAGCACACTGTGAGCCACACCTGCCGCAGCAGCGGGTTGGGCTGGAGTTATGTAAATCTCTGTTTCAGGATTACAGCTCTCTTCTCTAATAAGCCTGGTGGCAAGAAACCGGCTGAGTCATGGAGACTCTTGAAACAGTGCTTGGTTTACTTCCAAAGCCCAAGGCCAGGCAGCCGTCAGAGGGAACGATGCACGGAGTGGAGGGATCTACCCTAGTCTTCCCACTGTGTGCTGAGCCATAGTGAACCAGGGCAAGCGCTTGGGATTGCTGTGTCCCCTGACAATCGACAGCACAGGGTTCCATCTTTGTGTGGAGACCTGTACTGGCAAGGCCCTGAGGGCGAGTCCAGTTGAGGGGCTCTAGGATGAGCGCCTGAGCCTCCACTGGACTCGTCTGCAGTCTAGGAAGTTCTCTGGCTCCCACAGATGGGTCCATTGGCACCTCACCCCATGATGTCACCTTGAATGGGCACACATGCTTGTGTGCTTGCCTCACGTGACCAGCAACAACCTGCATCATCTGAAAGCATCTTTGAAACCATAGGGAAAGAAAACCCAGGAAAGGACACACAGTTGCTATGGGTACAGGAGGTGGGGGACCAAATTATGTAACAAGGATTTATGACAAGAGCTGACATATAGAATACTAACCCGAGCCAGACACTGTCCTTGGTATTTTTCGTGAGTTCTCGCTTCTGCCTCCCAAAAGCACCAACGGGAGGGAGCTATCATTCCTACACAGAAAGAGGTCCTATGAAGCCCATAACCACCTGGAATGGGGGCCTCCGGGAAATGGGAACGTGGAGCCTTAACAATGAAAGGGGTAGGGAGACAGTTCCATGGGTAAAGTTTGAGTCTGAATTCTTGGTACCTGCATAGCAAGCCAGGCCCACTAGTGCATGCCTCTGTACTTACATGATTACAAGCCAGGCTCACTCGGTGCACACCTGTGTACCTTCATGACAAGCCAAGCTCACTGGTACACACCTGTGTACCTACATGACAAGCCAGGCCCACTTGTGCACACCTGTGTCCTTACATGACAAGCCAGGCCCACTTGTGCACACCTGTGTACCTTCATGACAAGCCAGGCTCACTGGTGCACACCTGTGTACCTTCATGACAAGCCAGGCTCACTGGTGCACTCCTATGTACCTACATGACAAGCCAGGCTCACTGGTGCACTCCTGTATACCTACATGACAAGCCAGGCTCACTGATGTACACCTGTAACTCCGGCAATGGAGAGAGAGAGACAGAAGGATCCTGGGAACTCAGTCACCAGCCAGTGCAGTCAGTCAGTGAACTCAAAGTTCAGGGAGAAATTCTGCCTCAAAAAATAAGTTACAGGGGCTGGAGAAGTAGCTCATCAGTTAAGAGCATTTCTGCTTTTCCAGAGAACCCAAATTCAGTTCCCAGAACTCAAGTGGCTCACAACCATCTGTAATTCCAGTTCCAGGAGATCCAATGCCCTTTTTTTGGCTTCCACCAGCATCAGGCATGCATGTGGTACAATATACATATATATAAGCAAGCAAACATGCCTATACATACATAAAAATAATCTCTAAAAAGAAAGAAAGAATCAAAGTGGTAAAATTTAAAACTAAGGTAAAGATTCAGTAGAGGAAGATCCCAATGTCAACTGTGTGCTCCCCTCCCACCTATACACACATAAAAATTTTTTTTAAAAATTAGTCTAAGATAAGGAAAAAGACATGTACATTTAGTGAAAGAGCCAGCAAATGCATTGCTGTGTGATTGATCGGTAGGGGTGGGCTCAAGGCAAGCATAGAGACATCAGATCTGCCTCTAAGAGGTCAGAGCAAAGTGCACCACGGCACACAACCTGTGCCGTAGTTCGAGGCTTTTCTTTTACCTTCTTTATGGTCACCCCCTCCTCCCCTTATCTGGCCAGTCTCTGCTGTGTGTCATGTGTTAAGTTGGAATAACACTTTTCTGCCAGGTGCCAGCTAACTAGAGTTATTTACCACATCTCACAGTCACAGAGCAAGGTCCAAGGGCACAGACCTTTGCATTCCTGACTTCTGAAGGCCATATAAAGCCATTTCAGCACCAGAGAACTGGTAAGTACTGAGCTGACAAGACTGTGCAGAGCTCAGCTGGAGCCTGGCCATGGTGCTGTGGGGCCCGGTGCTTGGAGCCTTGCTCACTGTCATTGTGGGATGCCTGTGTCTGTCCACACTGCTCAGGCACCGAAGGCCCCAGGAGCCTCCTCTGGACAAGGGTTTTGTGCCCTGGCTGGGCCATGCCATGGCTTTCCGGAAGAACATGTTTGAATTCTTGAAGGGGATGTGGACCAAGCATGGGGATGTGTTCACAGTACAGCTAGGGGGTCAGTACTTCACCTTTGTCATGGACCCCCTCTCCTTTGGTCCCATCCTTAAGGACACACAGAAAACACTAGATTTCATAAAGTATGCGCAGGAGCTGGTGCTAAAGGTGTTTGGATACCAGTCCATGGATGGGGACCACCACATGGTACACTCAGCCAGTACTAAGCATCTGATGGGACAAGGCTTGGAGGACCTCAACAAGACCATGCTGGACAGTCTGTCTTTGGTGATGCTAGGACCCGAAGGCCCGAGTCTGGGTGCCAGTTCCTGGCATGAAGATGGCCTCTTTCGCTTCTGCTACAGTATCTTGTTCAAGGCTGGCTTCCTTGGCTTGTTTGGCTACACCAAGGACAGGACACAGGATCTGCAAGAGGCCGAGGAGCTATTCACCAAGTTCCGCAGGTTTGACCTTCTTTTCCCCAGGTTTGTCTACTCCCTGCTGGGGCCCCGGGAGTGGGTAGAAGTGAGCCAACTCCAGCGTCTCTTCCACCAGAAACTCTCTGTGGAGCAAAACCTGGAGAAAGATGGCTTAAGTAACTGGTTAGGTTGCATGCTGCAGTCTCTGAGGGAACAGGGAATAGATTCATCCATGCAGGACAAATTTAACTTCATGATGCTCTGGGCTTCCCAGGGGAACACAGGGCCGACCTGTTTCTGGGTCCTCTTATTCTTGCTGAAGCATCAGGATGCCATGAAGGCTGTGAAAGAGGAAGCCACCCGGGTCCTGGGCGAAGTCAGATTGGAAGACAAAAAGTCTTTTGTCTTCAGGCTCAGTGCCCTGAAATGCACCCCGGTGTTGGACAGTGTGATGGAGGAGACTCTGCGACTGAGAGCTACGCCCACCCTCCTCAGGGTAGTGCAGAAGGATTTCATCCTAACGATGGCCAGTGGACAGGAGTACCAGATCCGTCGTGGAGACAAGGTGGCTCTCTTCCCCTACCTCTCAGTGCACATGGACCCCGACATCCACCCCGAACCCAAGACCTTCAAGTACAACAGGTTCCTCAACCCTGATGGCACCCGGAAGATGGACTTCTACAAGTCAGGCAAGAAGATCCACCATTACAACATGCCTTGGGGCTCTGGTGTCTCCATCTGCCCCGGCAGGTTCTTTGCTCTCAGTGAGATGAAGATCTTTGTCCTGCTCATAGTTATGTACTATGACTTGGAGCTGGTGGACCCTGACATGCCTGTGCCCCCTATTGACCCAAGGCGCTGGGGCTTTGGCACCTCACAGCCCAGCCACGAGGTGTGCTTCCGATACCGCCTGAAGCCCATGCAGTGAGCTCATGGGCCTGACCACACCCTGCAGTCCTCGGTGGCTGCAGTCCACAGCCATCCTTCCAGCTCTGAGGCACCATTACCTCTCCCTAGGATCCTTGCTCTCTTGCCTCCAAGACATGACGTAGGTGGACATGCTCCCTGAAACATGCCAGACCCTCTTCTCAGGAGGAGACCCCACGGACAGCTCAGTCTGCAGCTGGTGTCCAGCTAGGCTTGGCTCATCCTGGACAGAATGAGCTTCCATGAGTCAAACAACACCTTTTGAAGGCTGCCACAAACCTGCTTTATTGGGTGCCCTACTCCATAGCCTATGGGTTCCGTGGAGTCAAGCCATTGTGTGTGCAATTGTTAATTTCCTAGTAGACTTGCTGAGAGAAAGCAAAGGGTTAAAGCTGAGGCTTGTTTTCTGGTATGTATCTCTTAGCCCAGAGTTTCCAAAGAACTAGAACTTAAACAATTTCAAAGAAATTCATTGGGTGCTTTGCATTATTGTTGATCCTGTCCTCAAACTCTGCAGCGCTTTGAAAATGGGCTCAGGGGCTGGAGAATTGCCACATTTCAAGCAGGAGGCACTTGAGCTGCCTCTTCTGTACCTTTCTCCCCTCTGCATCTTCTCCCTGTGGTTCCCAAGAACACCACTGAACTGGTTTTCTCCACCTCTGTGCCTTCCATCTCCCTGTGGGGTCTCACAGACCCGTGGATATGCTCTGTCCCTGCAGAGCCCGGCCTCCATTCCACACTGCAGTGAAGGGCTTCCTCCCCTTCTCCCCCGACTCTCTGCTCAGTACTTCCCTTCACCCACGTCCCAGAGCAGACACCAAACACCTCACCTCCTCCCTCACAACAATCAGGCCCAGTTCTGTCTGCTCAATCCCTGTAAGGCCGCTGAAACATCACTTCCTACCCACCTCTGCGTCCATTCTTAGGTCTATAGCCTCTGCTTGTTTCAACACCAGGCCTGACACCCTCACCCTTTCTTACACAGCTGTCCAAAGCCCTTTTCCAAAAGTGCCTCTGGCTGCCGCTGTTTCGTCATCCGGGCCCACCGTCACTTCATGCACATGTCATCTCTGCCAGATTTCTGCGCTGGAGCTGCCCCTAAAGCAGAGACAGAGCTTTTACTGCAAGCCCAGCACCAGTTACTCCTGGAAGCCTTCTTCGGTTTCCATCTTCCCATCCCAGAATGGCCTTGGGCCCCATGGCCTCCCCTAACTTGTTTATACATCCCAGCGCACCTGGGCTACATCAATGCTGTCATTGTCTTGGTTTTCTCTTCCTGTTCCTGACACGGATTCAAGCCCATCAGGGATTTGTCCTTGGAGGTTCTGGGGGAAGGAGGTGCGAGGTGCAGGAATGAAGACAGGGACACAGCATTGCTGGGCTGTGCCAGTGCGACTAGGTGTACCCTTGGGTCTCCTCTGCCAGGACTGTCTCCATCAGTCCTCAAGGAGGGGACCCAGAACCATCAGAACCAAGGAATGAGCCCATCAGAGTAATACCTATTTATCTCTGCCTACCAATTGTCTATGAATTCCAGTGTAGAAACTTGATTTCCAGCCTTGGCAAATTTACTTTCCTGCCCTTCCATGACCTGGCGCATGAAACACAGGTGATTTCATGGCTAGACATGCTTCCCAGATTGGGAGAACAGGCAAGTGTTGCTACCAGAGCTGTGGCTGGCTGGTAGCAGGATCTTGCTGGAACTAGCACAAGCTGGGGAACAACTGTAGCTGGATAGAGGACCCTGGAAAAGGCGGATCTAGGCAGCACAGACAACCTCACTACCATAGGGCCCAGGCAGAGGGGCTTCCCCAACACTGCTCTGTATCCTTTTAGCCTGCCCTGAGCATTGCTGGGACAGTCAGCAGGAGCCTAAACTGGGGGGCAAGATGTCTCCACCTAGCCGTGTGACTCTAGACCAAGGCCTGCCTTTCTTGAATGATAAAGTCAATCTGATAGAGCCTCTACCTAGCTATGAGCGTTAAGATAGCCTATCCTCTTCCTCAAGGCCAGGAACACAAGGAGAGGGGACAGACAGGGCATGAGAGGAGGACTGGGTGGAAAGCTGAAAGTCCTAATGGTAAGCTGACCAACAGCCTCCCATTCAGCCAGCCCGCGTCCAGCTCCGTGGGCAGGGGAAGTGGGCAACCCCTGTGGCCTCACCAGGCCCTCGCTGCCATGTCCTCTCCCTCTCGACATATGCAGGGGACATGGAACAGAATCCTGGCCTATGAACCACAAGCTCCCAGCTGCCAGTGGCCTGGGAAGCTCCCCAGAAAACTCTCCTCCTGTAGAGGGTGTGGCCTTTGAAAGCCCAGAAGGCTAGGTGGAGAACCAAGATGATCCATGGCCATGTCTGAGATGATCAGAGGTGCTCCATCACATATGCAGGGGTCTCCCAGGAAACTTGGCTATGGAGTCCCCTCCATGAGGACTGATGGAGACAGTCCTGGCAGAAGAGATCCAAGTCACACTGGCCCGGCCCAGCCCAGCAGTGCTGTGCCCCTGTCTTCATCCCCGCACCTCTCACCCCCTCCCCAGAACCTCCAAGGAAAGAGCAACAAATGGATTCTCTCCAGAGAGAGCTTACAATAAAACAAGATCAGAGATGTCTTTTAATCTGGGTGTGGAGGCACATACAGAGAGACCCAACACTCAGGAGTCTGAGGCAGGATTCCTGTTCAAAGGCAGCCAAGCTTGTCACCCAAAAAATCCATAAAGCTAAAAAATGATATAATGTAAAGCAACTCTCCTGTGGTAGTTTTGGGCACCAGGAAAGGAAAAGTCTTTTCCCCATGTAGTCACTGCTGTGACTCACGGCGCAGAGCTGAGGGACCAGCAGCTCAGAGGCAGTCACTCCTGCCCTCTCCTTGAGCCAGCATAGAGAACAGTCCGCCTTGCCTCCGAGCTTGGTGGTCAGGTGCACACAGAAGCTGCTGGCTAAGGCTGGGTGGTGCCATAGGGAGCCAGGCTTGGCAGGCTTGGTAAAGACAGAGCAGGGAAATGAGCAATGTCCAGGCCTGGAAGTAAGGGTGGAGAGGAGAGGCTCTCTCTGCCTTGGCCTGGGCTGTGAGGACTGTTGAGCTGCTACCAGGATCCTACAACCAGAAGCAGTAGTAGTGTGTCTATGACCAGTGATCCTTTGGGGCACTGTTGTGAGTCTCTTTCCCAGGCAGTGCCACCCACATGTACACAGACCGTCAGGAACAGGGCACATACCCGATACATGTTCATAGCAAATCCACATTCACACACACACACACACACACACACACACACACACACACACACACACACACGTGCATGCCCAGTTGTTCTTCCACGTGCCTGACTTATCTTTAGTGTTTTTTTGTTTTGTTTTGTTTTTTGTTTTATTCTGTGTGTTCTCCACACCCACCTCTCTCAGCTCTGATGCCTTCAGGTCTCTCTGTCGAAGGCTCCAGATTCTTTATGTCAGGAGGAACTCTAGACTTCCTCAGGCCCTTATCTGTAATTGGCAACTTGTCTGAGAACGTGGAGGAAGGGTATTAGAACTCCCAAAACTATGCATATAGCCCCAGTTATGGCAACAGGACCAAGATCTCCCAAGTCCCTGACTTTGTGCCCAAGATGCACAGATGGAATGGGACATAGTCTGCAGGGTGACGGAGGCTCGGGGTCCTGTTACCAGCCTGGGTAATGCATGAGCATCTGTCTGGGACATCCATGTAGTGTGTCTGTCCCTGATAGGATATTGTGTGGGTTGTGTACAGTGTGTGTGTGTGTGTGTGTGTGTGTGTATGAATGCATAGGTGTGTGTACATGTGTACATGCGTGATGTCTATTGTGTGAATGTGCCTGGGGAAAGGGGCACACTGTTACTAAACTCAGAGAAAAGAACTGTGTGGGACATTGTCTTCCTGTTCAATGTTCTGTTCACCAGCCATTTATTCAAAAAAAATCAAAAAAGGAAAGAAGGAAGGAAGAAGGTTCAGAGGAAGAGAAGGGGAGGAGGGGGTGAAGAAAATGAAAAGAAAGACAAAAGGAAAGATCCTGTTACGGCTACCATTGCCACTTTGACAGGATGTAGAATCTAACGTAGGGTTTATAGATTAGATTAGCTGAGGTAGGAAGGCTGCCCTGGCTGTGGGTGGCACCATCCTGTGGCCAGGGGAGGAATGAATAAAAAGGACTGATCTGAGCACCAGTGTCCACCTTGCTCTGCCTCCTGACTGTGGATGCAATGTGACAGCCACCGCACACTCTGCCTCCTGACTGTAGAGACAATGTGACAGCCACCACCCACTCTGCCTCCTGACTGTAGAGACAATGTGACAGCCACCACCCACTCTGCCTCCTGACTGTAGAGACAATGTGACAGCCACCACCCACTCTGCCTCCTGACTGTAGAGACAATGTGACAGCCACCACCCACTCTGCCTCCTGACTGTAGAGACAATGTGACAGCCACCACCCACTCTGCCTCCTGACTGTAGAGACAATGTGACAGCCACCACCCACTCTGCCTCCTGACTGTAGAGACAATGTGACAGCCACCACCCACTCTGCCTCCTGACTGTAGAGACAATGTGACAGCCACCACCCACTCTGCCTCCTGACTGTAGAGACAATGTGACAGCCACCACCCACTCTGCCTCCTGACTGTAGAGACAATGTGACAGCCACCACCCACTCTGCCTCCTGACTGTAGAGACAATGTGACAGCCACCACCCACTCTGCCTCCTGACTGTAGAGACAATGTGACAGCCACCACCCACTCTGCCTCCTGACTGTAGAGACAATGTGACAGCCACCACCCACTCTGCCTCCTGACTGTAGAGACAATGTGACAGCCACCACCCACTCTGCCTCCTGACTGTAGAGACAATGTGACAGCCACCACCCACTCTGCCTCCTGACTGTAGAGACAATGTGACAGCCACCACCCACTCTGCCTCCTGACTGTAGAGACAATGTGACAGCCACCACCCACTCTGCCTCCTGACTGTAGAGACAATGTGACAGCCACCACCCACTCTGCCTCCTGACTGTAGAGACAATGTGACAGCCACCACCCACTCTGCCTCCTGACTGTAGAGACAATGTGACAGCCACCACACACTCTGCCTCCTGACTGTGGATGCAATGTGACAGTCACCACACACTCTGCCACCATGCTGCCCCCATGCTGAACTGCACCCTCAAACTATGAATGAAAGTTAAGCCTTCCTTCCTTCCTTAAGCTGATGTTGTCTCCATGAGAAAATAAATTAGCACGCCCCCTGAAGTATTCGGTGAGCACCTGCTATACTCCAAGCGCGGGTAGCAGTGTGTGGAATGAAGACATACAGCCGTCTGCTGTCTGAGAAATCAGCCATTCACTGTCTTACCCTCCTCTTCACTTAGTTAGGAGTTTTGTTTCCTGGGTGCCATGCTTTGTATTTTGTTATGCAAGTCAGAAGCTGTGAGCTGTGATCAGTCTGTGAGGGGTTCTGTGGGGCTGGGGAAGTCTTGGGGGCTGAAGGATCCCTGGTGAAGAGTGACAGGCATTCACGGGGCAGCAGGGAGTATCGATTGGTCAGGAACCTTGAGGTTACAAGTAACAAAGCATCATGGTTCCACACAGTGTGTGTGTGTGTGTGTATGTCTCTGTGTGTGCGTGCATGTGTGTGCATGTGTCTGTGTGTCTGTGTGTAGTGTATGTGCATGCTGGTGTGTGTGTGTGTAACCATGCTGGTGTGTGTGTGTGTGTGTGTGTGTGTGTGTCTCTGTACACATGTGTGTGTGTCTGTGTGTATGTATGTGTGTGTGCATGTGTGTGTGTGTCTGTGCACGCGCGTGTGTATGTGTGTCTGTGTGTCTGTTTGTCTGTGTGTGTGCTGGTGGGTGTTACGGTCAAGCCAGCACTGGGGAACTGGATAAGCACCAGCTGAGCCCTGATTCTGAGGAGCCCAGAGTCTGCTCACTCATTCCTGCTCTCACACTCCACCAGTGTGAAGCACCAGACCTCACACCCTCTCTGTTTTAGTTTCATGCCTCTATTGCAGCCTGCTCTAGATGCCTTCATTCCACTGACTTTGCCTAGGTCATGTAGTGCATCCCCAAAGGATTGCTGTGGTCATGAAAATGTAAAATTGTAATTGTTCTGTGCATTAGTCAGCTTATGTCACTGCCACAAAGGGCCCAACGTCATTAATGATCAAAGAGGAAAGGTTTCCTTTGGCTCAGGGTCAGCAGACTGTAGTCTTGCAGCCCAAGATGCATTGCTTTGGGATGCTGGTGGTTGTACCAGAAGGCAATGGCCAGGAGTGAGCACACAGCTCACTCATAAGCCACGGAGGAAAACAATAGCGATGGAAAGGCTGAAGCCCCATCATTCCCTCCAAGGACATGTGCCCAGTGACCTGAGGGCCGCCTTCTAGAGGTTGCACCACTCACTACTCAGCAGCAACCCCTGGGATCAAGTGGAACTCAGAGTATACTGAGGACTGTCTAAGACTCCACTCAGAGCATGGGGCAGGGTGACCTTCCCCGAGCAAGTGGGATTAGCTCAGGAGATGAGGGAGGGCACACCTGACCAGAACCAAGCTTTATAACAGTACGGAGCAGGGCAGGGCAGACAGGTCTGGAGTGCAGAAAGCAGCACAGAGGGTGTGTGTTCAGGAAATGCAGTGGCCGGAGGGTGCGGATGTCTGGGTGCTGCTGAGAAGGAGCAGTCAGTGAAGCACCTGCCACACAAGTACCAGGGCCTGAGTCCAATCCCTGAGTCCAATCAATGCACACACACAGAGCCTGCGTCAAAAGCCAGGCATGGTGCACAGGCAAGTGCAACCTTTGGGAGAGGGAGACAGGTCCAGTCTCAAAGAACAAAGATGGATGGCACCTGAGAAATGGCACATGTGTTTGTCCTCTTATTTCTACACACTGGAACATACATACTCATGAGCACCTGCACACACACATACACACATATGCACACACGCACACACCCATGCATGTGCACACACATGCAGGCACAGACACACACACACACACACACACACACACACACACACACACATGTGCACACACACACACACACACACGCACGCACACACACACACGCACGTCCTGGCCTCCGTGCCAAGCAAAGCTTGTTATTGTTGCCGTTATGAGCTCATCCTGTGCACGCTTGTGTATGTCATGCTGTGTCCAAATTCACCCTCCAGGCCGCCTTCTCTCTGCTCTCTCCCCTCTCCTCCTTCCAAGTATACTCTCTTTTGTCTTAGTTTCCACAAATTAGAGGGAATAAGTGATATTCGTCTTTCTAAGTCTGGCTTACGTCACTTCACTCAACCAGAACGCTGTCCATTTTTCAGCTTCTTCTCCTCCTCCTCTTCCTCAAGGCTGGGTAACACTCTACATCGCGTGTCTGGTGTGTTTTCCACATCTATTCACCAACTGCTGGACAGCTATGCTGATTCCCTATCTGATATTGTTAAAAACTGTGACAAACACAGTGCCTGTGCCTCTGAACTGCACTGACTTATTGATGGATCATCAGCAGTTTTAGGTTTTTAAGGAACCAACAAATTACTGCCCACAGCATCTGTACCAGTTTACCCAACAGCAGTCTCTAAGGGCCCCTTTTCCTCTGTGTCCACCAGAGCTCACGGTTCTGCTGCTCCTGTTGCTCCTCTGGTAACAGCTGTCTGACCCCAGGGGAGGTAGAATTACAACATCATTCTGATTTGCATTTCTGTGATGGATAAGAATGCAGAGAGTTCTGTGTATTTATCAAGTTCTGTCTTTCTTTTGGGAAATGTCTGTTCGGACCACTCACCTTTTTTTTTTTTTTTTTTTTTTTTTTTTTTTTTTTTTTTTTTCCCATTGGATTATTTGACCTTGAGTTTTTTGTCTGGATACTGGCCCTGTTAGGCAAAAGCCAGGTTGTCTGTAAGCTCCCTTTATTCTGACCACAGCCTAGGAGACTGTAGCTCCCTGCCATCCTGTCTCTCCGTCCCTGCTTGTACTTCCTGGGTGATTGGAAATTTGCTCAGAAAGTCCTTGCCTCTGATGATGTCTTTAGCTGTTTCCCCTGTGCTTTTCCCTTAGGGTTTCCAAACTTTAGGTCTTACATTGAAGCCTTTGATCCATTTTTAGCTGCTCTTTGTACCGGATGTGAGGCAGGATCTGGTTTTAATCTTCTGCGTGTGGACGGCCAGTTTCCCAGCAGGATGTGTTGAGGGGCTGCCTTTCTCACCAGCATGTGTTTTGGAAAGTTCAGATAAAGACTTGAACTTGACTGACAGACCCCGGAAAGATGGAAGGTCCCGATATTAGGTCAGAGCTGGCATGGTCCCTGCCTTCTTCCTGCCAGATGTGCACCTGAGGGGCTGTTCTCTGGCTCCAGCATCTGCAGTGTCCTCAGACTACAGCTCTGGAACTACTGTCAAGGGCAGGAAGGTATATTCTCATCTGAGCCACAGAGAAGAAGCTTTGGTGTGTAGACAGCCTGGTGTGTGGACAGCCCTAGTGTGTGGACAGCCTAGAGTGTGGGCAGCCTAGTATGTGGACAGCCTGGAGTGTGGACAGCCCTAGTGTGTGGACAGCCTAGAGTGTGGGCAGCCTGATGTGTGGACAGCCCTAGTGTGTGGACAGTCTGGTGTGTGGACAGCCCTAGTGTGTGGACAGTCTGGTGTGTGGACAGCCCGGTGTGTGGAGAGCCTGATGTGTGGACAGCCCTAGTGTGTGGACAGTCTGGTGTGTGGACAGCCCTAGTGTGTGGACAGTCTGGTGTGTGGACAGCCCTAGTGTGTGGACAGTCTTGTGTGTGGACAGTCTGGTGTGTGGAGAGCCTGGTGTGTGGAAAGCCTGCGGCTCTTGGCAGAAAGAGCTCGTTGCTCCATTCCACAGATACTTTATAAATGCCTTCCATACACAAGCTTCCGTGGTGCTGGTCTGAGTGCAGCAGTGAGCCCTGCACTGAGAGCCTCCTCTGCAGCTCAGCTGGGCAGGTGGGCTTAAAACAGTAGCCAGTGAATACAACAAACAGAGAAATCTGTGGACTGAGTGTAAGTGGTGAGTGCAGAGGCAGATGACCCAGGACATCAGGCATGTAGGTAGGGCATTAAGTAGGGCGAGCATGGGGCCCCCTCACCAACAAGATGACCCCAGAAAGTGAAGGAATGGGCCAAACTCTTCCCAAGAGGAAGGCTGTCCAGGAAGGTGATGTCACTGGACTCTCCCTACTGGGATGAGCCTGCGATGCCCCAGAAACACAGTGTGCCCTGCACCCAGAAACCAGGAGGCAGTGTGGCAGCGATGAGGTCATAGGATGGTCACATGGCCCTTGAAGCCCAGGAGTGGAATGACCTCCCTGGCTGCTGGAGTTCCAGGAAGCCACAGAAGCACACGGGATGGAAGCACAGACCATGGAGACCATTGCAGTGATTCAGCAGACAGCACAGGGCCCAGGAAGATGGAGGAAGGGGCAGCAGTGAGCAAGGACATCTGGTTGAGAACCACTGGGGCCAACAGCATGGTCATGCTGGCCCAGAGAGAGGGGGGGAGAGAGAGGGAGGGGAGAGAGAAGGAGAGGGACAGGGAGAGAGAGAGACAGAGAGAGAGAGACAGACAGAGAGAGAGAGAGAGAGAGAGAGAGAGGGAGAGGGAGAGGGAGAGGGAGAGGGAGGGAGAAGGAGGGAGAGAGAGAGAGAGAGAAGCACTCTTCCCAGACTGTGGCATGGCCACTCAGGCCTGATCATTCCCTGTATCCGCCTTGTCTATGGGGTCGTCAGTCTGCCTCTCTCCAAGCTCATTCATGCTGACCACATCTTCTTGGGCAGTAGCCCTGCTGCTCTCAGAATAGCTAGGTGGCCGGGCCTGGGCAGTGTCAGGTTCCTGATGCCATCTCAGCACCGCAGCCAGGAACGCTTTCAGATACCGCCGGAAGCGGCGGCTGGAGAAGGCGTAGAGGAAGGGAGTGAAGCAGCAGTGTGAGAAGGCCAGGCTCTCTGTCACCTGCAGTGTGTAGTCCAGATAGTGGCTGACCTGGCAGTTCCCTAAGATGTGCAGGTCCAGGAGCGAGTGCAGGAACAGAGTGAGGTTATATGGGAACCATAGCAGGAAGAAGGCTACCACCAGGGCTGTGGCCACCCTCAGAGCCCGGCCCTGGCCTGGCGGCCTCAGCCTGACCAAAACACAACCAATGCGGGAGTAAAAGAAGATCATGGCCAAGAGCGGGAGGAGGAACCCCAGAAGGTTCTGCTGGAAGCGCAGGTACAGCTTCCAAACGGTTGCGTGTCCGCCGAAATCCGCGTAACAGTGCCACACGCCATCTAAGGTCTGGTGGGCTTGTACAAAGACCATTTCTGGGACAGAGACAGCTAGGGCTGTGGTCCACACTATGGTGATGAGGAGCAGGCTCCTGAACCGGGGCCGCAGTCTATGAAGGGGCTGGGCATGGACGATCTCCAGGTATTTGTCCAGGCTCATGCAAGTGATGAAGAAGATGCCACAGTAAAAGTTAATAGTGTAGAGAATGCTCACCGCCTTGCACAAGAAATTGCCAAAAACCCATTGCCAGGCCACAGAGATGGCCCAGAAGGGCATCGTCACCACAAATAGGAGGTTGGAGATGGCCAGGTTCAGCAGGTACAGCTCAACCATCTGTCTTCGTGGCACATAGCGGAGCAGCACCACCAGAAGAAGAAGGTTCCCAGCCAAGCCCAGCACAAAGATGAGGCTGTAGACGACCGGCAGGAAGACTCTCCCGAAGGACAGGACCGCATCCTTCCTGCAGACCAAGATGGTCACGTCATCCAAGTAGTCGTAGTCGTAGACGAAAGTGCTGTTCTCAGGACTGGTGGTGGTGAGTGTCGGCGAGGAAGCCTTGGTGGGCATGCCTGAGGTCATGCAGAAAACAAAAGCCACAGTGAGGCCTGGGGACATCACTCGGTGGGCAAAGCTCTTGCTGTGTGAGCTCGGGGACCTGAGTTCAGACGCCCAGAACCCAAGTAAAGCCAGATGCAGCAGCACACCTGTACCCCCAGAGCTCCTCCAGAAAACACGGGAGGTAGAGGCAGAAGTCCCGGCAGTCCATGGGCCGGCGAGCCTGGGGTACACGACTGCAAAGAAAACTGAAACATGAGTTTGTCCTCTGACATCCACACACACACCCATGCTCACATACACAAACATGTAAAGCCATATGAAGATTAAAGAAAGAAACCTAAACCATGAATGACTGTATCCCCTCAAACCCCAAGCCAAAATAACCCTCCTTTTTTAAGCTGATACTCTTCTGAGGCTGTGACTTGACCAGCAGCCTGAGGTGTCACCCCTCAGCACACAAAGTACAAGCTGAGGTGAAGTGCAGACAGACACCGCATTTTCACTGGGCAGGTTGCACTGTCTGGCCAGGACTGTCACTTCTCCAGAGGCTTTTAATATGTGGGCTCAGTATTGCCAGCATGTAAACATGGAGTAGCTAGAATCTGACCATTGTTACCTACTGGTTTTCAACAGCCTGTGGGGTGTGTGGTTGGCATACATTTAGTCTGGAAGTATCTAGTACATGTGTCGGGAAATATACCAAATGTCCAAGCTATTTCCAGAATGCCTCTGGTATGAGAACAGGGCAGACACTCCGCTCGCAGTGAGACAAGTTCAGAAATGGAATAGACTCATCAACTCAGTGCAGTGACTTCAAGCTTGGCTTCAGAGACGAGTCTGTCCAGCAGGCAGAGACAGTATATCTGTCAAAGTGCACGTGGCTTATATAGCCAAGTCCAGGCCACCCAGGACTACATAGGGTTTAGTTTAAAAACACAAACAATTAAAAAAAAAAGTTTGGTAGTCTCTGCCAACTAACTACTGAGCCCTCTGCTCCCCTCTAGATTGTGAAAGGGCAAGACCAAGAGGTTTCTCCATTCTCGTATTCCTGCTGAGGCCATTTAGGCTTGACTAGAATTTGACCTCCTCGATGGAGAATCCCATGCAAAATTACCCAACTGTATTCTAGAAACCTGAGGTCAAGATGTCCCAGATAACTTAGCTTGCTGGACTGCCTGTTTGTGCAGAAGCCCCTCCCTCCAGCTAACTGCCTGTCTTGGCTTCTGTTAAATTGAGTGTAGCCTCCCCTGCCCCCCCACACCCTGCCCTGTTGCATCTGCCAAGTGAGAAGCCAGGGTGTAGGCTTTGCCTTCAAAACATCTTGTTCTGGACACTTAGTGCTACACTTGGGTTCCAAATGCCTGAGTAGTCCTAGCCCGCTGGAATAAAGACTAAATCGCCTTTAAGCTGTGTCTGAGAAGTCATCTCTGGGGCGGGGGGTTGCTCCCCATAACACCATCACAGACCAAGCTCCGGACTGTGTAACTCCTCAGCAGATTTGTATCTTTTGTCACTGGCCCCCACACCATGGTCTGGCGTGCCATCTCCCAACCAATCAATACAACTGCACGTCCATAGGGACCCTGACTTGTGGCTGTACCGGCTTATCCACTTCCAGGGCTTCTGGTTACAGCCAAGAATCTTCAGAGCTTAGCCTGGCTTCCTTCTTTGCATGCTTTGCCATGCAGGTGTCGTCCCTTGAGAAAATCCCTGAAACTGTATTTAAAGTGTGGAAGGAGTGCGGATGGCTCCACCAGGATGTCTGCTGCTGGGGTAGCTGTTAGCAGCTGGGCTGGGTTTCACCCTGGCTTACCTTACGCTCTCAGTGTCTGGTTTGTGGTTGTCTCTGCTCTTTCCAGTTCCCCTGGTGTTTTGGTTTTCCTCTCTTCTCAGAATTCTTTCTCCTTGTTGCCCCGACTCCTCTCTTGAAGAGTTGTGGGAAGGGTGTGCTTCTCCCCTACTCTGATGAGAACTTGTCTTCAGGCTTTTAAAAATTTAAAAATACACACAGCATGCATAATTATTCACAGTTGCTGTACGGTGCAGTAGTCCCCAGCACACCGCCCACGGTTGACTACATCCTCACCCCATCCATCAGCCCCTCTAGGCCTTCTGCAATTGCTCCTCTCTCAACCCGTGTGAGACCTGTGTTTCCCACATATGCGTACATCTGGTGGCTCTATCTGCAGTTATTTTGAGAATCTGCTTGCCGTGGGTGGTGGGGCATTATTCCGGGACCTTTTGGCTAAGCTCAGAACGCATGGTGGCTGCACTCATTTACATCCCAGCCAATGCGTTTTTTGTTGTTCTTTTGTTTTTGTTTTGAAACCAAATCTCAGCTATGTAGCCCTGGCTGGCATGGAACTGGCTCTTGCCTCTGCCTCCCTGCTTTCTGTCTTTTGGGTATGAGTCGTTCTAACCTGAGTGGAGCGGCACCACATAGTGGTTGGATTTGCATTTCCCTGGTGGTTACTAATGTCAGCTCTGGGCGAGTTGCCGGTTCAGGTCAGGTGCACTGTTGATGACTGTGTGTCTCTTTTTGAGAAATATCTTTACCCTCTCCCGTCCTTTGTTTGTTTTCTTCTGTTTGCTTTGATTTGTTTTGGTTTTGAAATTGCTCTGTAGCAGACAACGACCTTGAAACCCTGATCCTCCTGCCTGTGTTCCCCAAGCCCTGAGATTGCAGGCATGCATTATGATGCCCAGCTAATCATCTGCTCATTTTAAAATCAGATAGTTTGGGGACTGGGTGGTAATTCCTGGTAGCAATCCCAGGTCAGATGAATAATTCATCAATATTTCTGCTGCCCTGTAGGATCCCTCGTCTTTCTGTTGGGTCTCTCCTCTGCAATGTTTGATATGATCCCATTCCCTCCACCCCACACCCCCTCTCTAATTTTGGTTTGGCCTGTGCTTTTTCGGTCTTATCCAGAAAGCCCCCACCCACACCTCTGTATTGCTATGTCCTGGAGCATGACAATAGCATGAACTGTAGCATGGGTGAAGTGAAGGTAAAGCTGTGTTCAATCCTATTCCGGGGTGCGGGGTTGGGGGGGGCAGGTACAGAGACAGAAGAAAGAGCAGGGTATCAGGTGGATCTGCCCAGATACCTGTCAGTCATCCTGCTGATCACTTGATGTGACCTATCTGGCTAGCTAAGTGGGTGTCCCCTTCCTTACTCTCTGCTCCCACACGCGCACTTGCACGCGCGTGCGTCTCTCTTAAAGCTGCATGCTTAGCCAAAGAGGATGGCCTTCCTTCATGGAGGAAGTTGGCTCTTTGATCAATGATTTAAGACTAACTTCACTCCCTGTTAGAACCCAAGGGTAGGGGCCTTTATGTTCGACACATTGCATTGCTCACCAGTGGGGAGGGGCTTTGGGGAAAAAAGGGGAAGGAGACAAAAATGGATATGTGGTCCAGCGGGAGTTATGCTGAGCCATGACAGAGGGGCCTGCAGGCTAGTGATGCTAATGGCTCATCAGGTAGGAAACACACATCAACTCCTCTTCAGTGTCTGTGTTTTGTTCCCTGTTCTCCAATTCAGCGAGGGTGAACTTCCAGTATGCTCACTGGCAGTGTGCAGTCATACTTATTTACACTTTCAGTGGATGGGAATCTCATTTCATAGGACCTCTGGGGATTGGGCAATCCTCCTGCCTCACTTCTCAAGTGCTGGAGGCCTGCATGTACTGTAACAACTCAACTTTGGGGGGTATATGGTGTGGGTTTAACCTTTTCCATGTATGTTGCAATGTTTTCCCTAGTTCTTTCTGGTAGAATTGTTGGGTCTTTTTTTTTTTTAAGATTTATTTATTATGTATAGTGTTCCGCCTGCATGTGTCCCTGCACACCAGAAGAGGGCACCAGATCTCATTATAGATGGCTGTGAGCCACCATGTGGTTGCTGGGAATTGAACTCAGGACCTCTGGAAGAGCAACCAGTGTTCTTAACCTCTGAGCCATCTCTCCAGCCCGGTTTTTATTTTTATAAGAAGAATTTTGAAAGAGCTGTTGGCTCAGGAGGCCCCCATAGGACTCTGAGCATCTATGAGTTTGGATGGAATGAGCTGGGCCGCGAAGGTCACCCCTCCCATGGAACACTGGAGAACTTCCTCTCTGTCAGCCTCTGCCCCACCCTTGGGCTCCTATCTAATAGCATGGGGACCAGATGTTGGGGAAGCTGTACACATGTCTGGGAAGCTTTCTCTAGGACCCAGCTCAGCTCCTGGCCAGCCTCAAAGGTGGCTCTGTGCCTGCCTTGGTGGCCTTGCTGCTCTCCTGCACATATGGCCTCGCCAGGCCCCCGGTGCCTCCCATCCCTGGGCTGGCCTCAGGAGTTGAGCTGTCTCAGGGCTTGTCAGTCAGGATGCCAATAACTGCACCCAAGCTGTTCTCCGTACCTCCAGCCCTGATTTCTCAAAGTCCCTGACTTTTGCTTTAGCAAATATGCAACCTAACAGATGCCGAGATCAAAGTCAGGGTCAATAGCTCTAGTTCGACCCAGGCCACTTTGAAGGTCTTCTTCCCCTTGGGACACTCTGGGAAGCTGGCCAGGTCCTCTGAAGCAACAGGCCTCCCACAACACTTACATCAGCATGACCCAGGTGACTCAGCAGCTATGTCCCTGTACACACCATGGATGGCACGTGCCTTCCTGGCCACTGTGCAATCTAGTAACTCACAAGATGGGGTGTGAGCACTGGTCGTTTTCACTCCCTTATATTTGTTTGGCTTCTCCATTAGAACCTTGAGAGGAATGAGTTGTTCACATCTTAGGCTAAGTTTGTAGGCAGGAAAGGTGAGTCTGCTGGGCAGGCTTTAGGGAATCCAGAGAATTAGTAGGGGCTTCTAGTCAAAGGGCTGGCAAGGTCACGTTCAGCTAAGCTTACCTTCCATGAAGCTTGGGACCCAGAGGCAGAGGCAACTTATCTGTAGGGCGGTTGTGTTTATGCTGGGGGATGTATCGTTGTGTTTATGCTGGGGGTGTATCGTTGTGTTTATGCTGG